GGAAAATCGGGGAAAAAAAAGCGGGAAAAAAAAACCGGGAAAAATCGGGAGAAAAAAGCGGGAAAATCGGGGAGAAAAATCGGGAAAATTTGGGGGGAAAAAAAGGAAAAACGGGGAAAAAAAGCGGGAAAAAAAATCGGGGGGGAATCGGCAAAATTTGGGAGAAAAAAAGAGAAAATCTGGGAAAAAAAAGGGGGAAAATCGGGAGAAAAAAGCTGGAAAAAATGGGAGAAAAAAAAGAGAAAATCGGGGGAAAAATCGGGGGGAATCGGGAAAATTTGGGAGAAAAAAGGGGAAAATCGGGAGAAAAAAATGGGAAAAATCGGGGAAAAAAAAGATAAAATCGAGGAAAAAAAGCGGGGAAAAAAAAACCCGGGAAAAATCAGGGGAAAAAAAGAGAAAATGGGGGAAAAAAAATCGGGGGGAATTGGGAAAATTTGGGAGAAAAAAGGGGAAAAATCGGGGAAAACATCGGGAAAATTGGGGAGAAAAAAAGGGAAAATTGGGGAAAAAAAGCGGGGGAAAATCGGGAAAATTTGGGAGAAAAAAGGAGAAAATCAGAGAAAAAAAACCGGGAAAAATCGGGGGGAAATCGGGAAAAATTGGGAGAAAAACGGAAAAAATCGGGGGGGAAATGGGGAGGAAAAAAGAGAAAAAATTGGGAAAAAAAGGAGGAAAAAAATCAGGAATAATTGGGAGAAAATTGGGAGAAAATTGGGGGAAAATTGGGAAAAAATCAGGGAAAAAAATGGGAAAAAATCAGGGAAAAAATTTGGGGAAAAAATGGGAAAAAAACAGGAAAAAATTGGGAAAAAATCGGGAAAAAAAATCAGGGAAAATCGGGAAGAATTGGGAGAAAATTGGGAAAATTCGGGAGAAAATTGGGGAAAATCTGGAGAAATCTCCAATGAATGTCAATAAATCTTAATAAATCCCAATTAATCCAAATAAATCGCAATTAATCCCCAATAAATCCCCAATTAATCCCCAATTAATCCCCAATAAATCCAAAATTAATCCCCAATAAATCCCAATAAATCCAAAATTAATCCCAAATAAATCTCCAATAAATCTCCAATAAATCCCCAATTAATCCTTAATAAATCCCCAATAAATTCCCAATTAATCCCCAATTAATCCTTAATAAATCGCCAAATAAATCCCCAATAAATCATTAATTAATCCCCAATTAATCCCCAATTAATCCCTAATTAATCCCCAATAAATCCCAAAAATTCCCCGAATTCCGAATTTTATTTGGGGGTCAAAGGTGACGGGGGGTGTGGGGGAGGGGCGGGGCTCGTTAGGGGCGTTAATGAGGGACAATAAATAATTAACAGAGGGGGGCGTGGCCACGGCCCGGCTTCACCTGTCCAGGTGGGCGTGGTCATGCCCGTATAAGGAGAGGGGGGGTTGGGTGTGGCCGGGGTGGGTGTGGTCAAAAGTGGGCGTGGCCAAAAAGGTGAGATGGGCGTGGTCTGGGTTAAGTTCAGGTGTGTCCAGGTGTGCTGGGCGTGGCCCAGGTGTGTCCCAGGTGTGTTCAGGTGAGCTCCAGGTGTGTCCAGGTGCAGTGGGCGTGGTCCAGGTGTATCTCAGGTGTGTCCAGAGTATCTCAGGTGTGTCCAGGTATGTCCAGGTTTGTCTCAGGTGTGTCCAGGTGCGGTGGGCGTGGTTCAGGTGTGTCTCAGGTGTGTCCAGGTGAGTCCCAGGTATTTCAGGTGTGTCTCAGGTGTGTCCAGGTGCGGTGGGCGTGGTTCAGGTGTGTCTCAGGTGTGTCCAGGTGAGTCCCAGGTATTTCAGGTGTGTCTCAGGTGTATCTCAGGTGTGTCCAGGTGTGTTTCAGGTGTGTCCAGGTGAGTCCCAGGTATTTCAGGTGTATCTCAGGTGTGTCTCAGGTGTGTCCAGGTGTGTCCAGGTGCGGTGGGCGGGGTCACTTCACGCGGATCTCGGCGTACTCCGGGGGCTCCTCGGGGGGTCCCCGGGCGGGTTTGGGGGGAGGGGCGGGCTCGGGGGGGGCTCCCGGCCCCTCCCCCACCCCCAGGGCCCAGCGCCCGACGGCGCCGCGCAGCCAGCGCGCCTGGGGGGGGAGGGGCGGGCTCACCTGAGCTCACCTGAGCTCACCTGAGCTCACCTGGTGACCCCAAAAATGGCCCCAAATTCCCACCCGGAACTTCCCCCCGAAACGGCCTCAAATCCCCGCCCTGGCCCCGCCCCCCTCACCTGCAGTGGGCGTGGCTCCGGGTCCCGCCCCCCCGGGGGGGTCACCGGGGTCACCGCGGGGCTTCCCGACGCCTTCCTGCAGGGGCGGGGAGGGAGGGGGCGTGGCCTGGTCAGATTCGGCCCCGCCCCCTCCCCGCGCTTCAGTTCCCCCCTCTGTGGGCGTGGCCTGGGAGGGGCGTGGCCTTTTGTGGGCGGGGTCTGAAATGGCCTCGAAAGGGGCGTGGCCTCATTGGGGCGCGGACACTGTTGATTTGCATAGAGGGGCGTGGCCTATGGGGTGTGTCCATACATGGGCGTGGCTTCTTTGGGGGTGTGGTCCGAGAGGGGCGTGGCCTCCTGGGGGGGTGGGTGGGTCCTGTTTGTGGGCGTGGCCTCTCCGGGAGCACCCCAATATGGGCGTGGCCTATCGGAGGGGGTCGAGCCCCTTATGGGCGTGGCCTCTTCCCAAATATGGGCGTGGCCTCTTCCCAAATATGGGCGTGGCCTCCTCCCC